TACACCCTGTATATTATGATTGTTTTGTTGTTGTTGCTCTCTTTTTTATTGTTGTTGTAAATGTGGCTCATTTTTTGTATTGTTTTCTTCTTTTTCCTTTTTTTTGTCGTTCTTCTTCTTCTTCTTCTTTCTCTTTTTCTTCTTTTTTTTTTGTTTTTCGCTGTCCATTGGTTTCACAGTTTCATCGGTTGCATTGGATTCATTGTCATCGCTTTTGTTCGTTGTATTGATTGTGATGTCATTTGTTTCGACATTTCCGAATTTATTGTTTTGAATTATTGATTGCAGTTCATTTTGAACTGCCTCAATAATTTTGTCACCAACGAATTTAGACAATTTGGATTTTTCATTGATATCTCGTTGTTTCTCCTCATCGACGCATGCATTACAATTGTATATGAATGGTGAACAGCCTTCAAACAGTGAATGTATGTTTACGCTTTTTTGGTCGCCTGTATATTTTATTTTTTTTTCTTCGTCAATTATTATCAGGCCTAAGCCCTTTAATAATTTTGTCGCATATGGTGAATTTATGCATTCGACAAAAACTTTTTGTTTGCATTTACTGCAAATCAAAAATTGGCCTCCAAATCTTGAGCCGGTACACCTTTTTTCACTGCAATTATGTGTATCGCACATGTCAAATAGCAACAACAAAAACAATCACCTTTAATCCAATTCAATTTTTCCAACAATACCTCAATGATTCCGACTAAACTTCAATGTTTCCTTAATTTGCACGTATTTTTCAGTATTTTGTTCCTATTTATTTTATTTGTTTGTGCTATTTTCTATTTTTAATTATCGATTTTGTGTAAATATTTAAGAGCACTTGAAAAAAATGAACTGTCAAAGTCAGCTGTCATTCACATCATTCCACTCAGAAAAGACAAAAATCCATATATTGTTACTCGTGAACACAAAGCTCACGAAAAACACGTTGCTGATATCGAAAAAAGATTAAACAAAATCGATTTTGAATTAAGGAAAGAACACCATTTTCTGAGCAGACAATCGATTATCAATTATTAAAAACGTCACCGCTGACTTGACAGGTGCCAATTAAAAATCATTGAAATTAAAAATTAAAATAGAAAAGTAAATAAAACTGCAATAAAAACAACACAAATAGCAATAACAAGCCTCGCTGCATACGGGGAAAGTGGAGAACAGCAGAAAAGTGTGAAAAATATAGAAAAATCAATTGGTGAATTGTGTATGTGAGTGAATTGTGTATGTGAGTGACTTGTGTTTTGGGTAGTAAACATAACCTACATAGAACCAGCAAAACACTCACAGTGAACAGCGACATCTGTTGCACTATAGCACAATTATTTTCGTAATAAATCAAATGAGGCAATCATAAGTAAAATTTAATATGGATAGCGCTCACTGTTGTGATGAAAATAAATGCAAATCATTGCAAAAGAAAAGTATTTTTCGAATGCTTGCCATCACCTTTTGCAGCGAAATTTTTGATTGGGTTTGGATTAGTCACATGCAGGACGATGGAAAAATCAAATTGCAAGGTGATCAAAACAAAATGCAAGCAATACACAAATTGTTTGAAGCAGAATCACCATTTTCTGTCACTTGCAATATATGCAAAGACGGCTCCCCCTATCCAGCCTGGCAAATTTTTGCGATTGCCTTGAAACCTTTTTAGGGATTTAGTGACTAATTTGTGATAATTTGTGACACCAAAATTTCGGCCCATGGAATAGACCTTCGGCCAATTTTGGCCATTTTTCTATTTAGGCCTATTGGCCGAAAAGTCTCTTAGTGAAATTTCGAATAAAAGCAAAAAATAAAAATATAATGATGCAGAATTTTAGTGATTAATTTGTGACTCACAAATATGACTTTAGATTTTCGATACGACATCTGGTGGACATATTATGAACAAAAAATTGAAAAATGCACAAAAATGATTTTAATCGAAAATTTGAAAAGGCTTTTCATAAAAATGGGCA